CTACACTAAATTTTGGTGCTGTGTGGTCAGTGCAGGGACTGGAATTCTTGTTAGAGTTGAGGGTCACATGGATTCCACTTAAGATCAGCAAATTCTGAAGAACAATGTTCATGAATCAGTGACAAAGTTGAAGCTTCGCCGGGGCTCAATGACAAGGATCTCACTGGATCTGATCAATGACGCTAAACACTGCTCAAACTCTATTAAGGCTTTCATGCAGGGCAACATTCTGGAATGACCATCTCAGACTACTTGGAAACCATCAAACCTGCCTAAACTGGAGATGTTTTTTTAAGACTAGTCCAAAATGCCAGAATCCAGACTCTAATCGAAGCTATAGAGAGTGTTTAGAGGCTATTTTTTCTGCAAAAGAGGGAGGCATACAATATTTATACATATCATTGTGTTTGTGTGCTTTTACAGAGGGTCCCAAACTTTTGCATACCGTTGTTTATAGATATTATTTTTAGGATGAAATGACTTGGCAAACACAATCTGGAATATTTGTGTCATGAATGCCTTTGAAAACCCAATGCCTTTCCCCTTCAATTCCACGTTAGTAGACCATTCATGGAGAGCAAATGAATGGCTGTTTACTGTGTTTTGTACTTATGAATGGTTTCGGTATGTCCGCCACCAGGCTGTTTGTTTACACTGTAGCCCTGGTGGTAATGTGACTCACGGTGGCGCTCGTGACTCACCCGGCCGCCGGTTCGCGTGCCGCTCCTCACAATCCACAGTCATCGAAAAACCATTTCCCTCTCATTCTTGCTCTCTATGACTCATCTTGGTTTCAATTTGAACCCCCCTCTCCATTACACCTCCTCCCTCAATAGCTCTATCTCTCCTTTCACTCCTCAGTCTCATTCCTTCGCTCCCTCTCTTTTTCCTTCCTGGCTCTGTGAATGACCTCATTTTAATGAAGCACAGTCTTGGCGGGGAGAGCAAACCGCATGGCTGGAACCTCCCTTGCTCTCTCTCTCTCTCTCTAAACCAAATCTGGCTTTCATTCCCAAGCTCTAACAGAACCAAGCAGGAAGTCTGGGAATTCTAGAGCAACCCCAAGAATTCCAGAACTAGTGTTTGATTGCATTCCATCACTTATGGCAACAACCCCACATGTAATAAAAGAACCATTGATGCAACACTGCCCCATAAACTTTCAAATGATGTACTGCATTTGCTTGAATCGTCTAGGAATGAAAATATGAGTGAAACTATGAAGAAATGATTTATTTTGAAATACACTATGATGTACAATAAAGAGGCACTATTGAAGATACACATAAATATTAAGGACTAGTCCACAATTGAATATATCAAAACAATTGTAATTTTTAAAAAGATAAACATTGTTCAGTCAACTTATTTGACTCTAGTGATGTTGTTCTGATATCTTGAGCTTCTAATTAGAAATGCAAAGAGGATTCCAATCTGATTGGTCTGAGGCTCCAAGACATTGACCCCTCATGTACAGCTTCAGTTTTTTATGAGAACAGCAAGGAACCCATCTGGAATTGATAGTACTATAGTCACCAGGCAAACAATTGGCTTCTCATTATGACATGAAGCACTTAAATCCTGTAGTGCCTGCCGAACCCCCCGATTGAGAAAGCACATGTGACTGCACAAGACTGAGCTCACTTACCCCAACCCCTTAGGCCTTACCCATCCTCTTGAAACTGAGGGCTGAGGGGAACAGTTAAATATACAGGTCCTTCTAAAAAAATTAGCATATTGTGACTATTTACTGTAATGTACTGATGATCATTAAACTTTCATATATTTCAGATTTATTACACACAACTGAAGTAGTTCAAGCTTTTAATTGCTTTAATATTGATGATTTTGGCATACATCTAAAAACAATTATAATTTCAGGAAAAGGTTCTCTAAACGAGCGATTAACCTACTCTTCTGAAACAACTAATTAACTCTAAAAACCTGCAAAAGATTCCTGAGGCTTTTAAAAACTCCCAGCCTGGTTCAAAACCGCAATCATAGGTAAAACTGCCGACCTGACAGCTGTCCAGAAGACCATCACTGACACCCTTAAGCAAGAGGGCAAGACACAGAGAGAAATTTCTGAACGAATCTGTATCAAGGCGCCTCAGTGGGAAGTCTGTGGGAAGGAAAAAGTGTGGCAGAAAACGCTGCACATCGAGAAAAGGTGCCCTGACCCTGAGGAAGATTGTGGAGAAGGAGCGATTCCAGACATTGTGGGACCTGTGGAAACAGTGGACTGAGTCTGGAGTAGAAACATCCAGAGCCACCATGTACAGGCATGTGCAGGAAATGAGCTACAGGTGCCGCATTCCCCAGATCAAGCCACTTTTGAACCAGAAACAGCGGCAGAATTGCCGGACCTATGCTACAGAAAAGCAGCACTAGACTGTCGCTCAGTGGTCCAGAGTTCTTTTTTTGGATGAAAGCAAATTTTGCATGTCATTCGGAAATTAAGGTGCCAGAGTCTGGAGGAAGACTGGGGAGAGGGAAATGCCAAAAAAAAAAGCCTAAAAACTGAAAATAATTATTTGAAGGTTGACTTTTTTTTGTATTAAAAACAGTTTTCTTTTATTGGTCAGATGAAATATGCTAATTTGGGGTTTTCATGAGCTATATGACAAACTAATCAATATCAAAGCAATAAAAGGTTTGAACTACTTCAGTTGTGTGTAATGAATCTAAAATTCATTACACTTTTTTAGACTTATGAAAGTGTAATGTTTTTTAGTACATGACAAAGAATAATGAACACTATCACAATATGCTAATTCTTTGAGAAGGACCTGTAATTACGTTTAATAACAGCAGAAGTGGTCCCATAGTGGAGTGGTTTTGTACAAAGGATGATGAAGTGATTTTCGACCTTTCAACCACCCAGAACCAAATAATAAACCATTCAAAATCATAAAAGAGGTTCTTTAAGTTGCCATATGGCAATGAAAATCTAAATGATTTAGAGGAGAACAGGCATAGTTCCACCATGTTTGGAGGAGGAATGTTGCCTATAAAAACAAAAACACCATCTTCACTGCAAACATGGTGATGGGAATGTTATGATTTGGGGGTGTTTTCCTGCCACGAGGACACAGCAGCTACAGCTTCCCAAAGATATGATGGACAGGCCCATACCATAAAATCTTCTAAACAGGGTATTGGATGTGGGCTACAGATGGGCTTACACAGGAATATGACCTAAATACTTTGCCAATGCAACAAAGAACAGCATGAAAAAATCCTATTCCCATTGCCTCTAAAAGTTGTTCGTGATTGAAATGATAAAGATTCCAAATGAGTCAAAACGAGCTAGTGTTCCACTTGAGTGAAAAAGGCCTTTAGTGCTGTGAAGCCTGACTTCCTATGTGAAGCATTTAGTAAAGCTGCTAATTAAACTATAAATACAGTTTAAGCTTTGTGTTGGAGCTTGTTCCCTCAAAGTTTACATATGCTGTTTATGTTCCACAGGCCATGAGCATCCTTCAAACTGCCCGTCAAACCTGCTTGTCTCAAAACTGTTTGTGGATGGAAGATAGTACTGCTGTACAGCATAATCCTGCAAGAAAAACAACGTATTTTCTCGAGATACATATATTACCTTGTTTTGCTCAAGGCCGTGCTTTTTTAACAATCAATTTGAGTTAACAAAAAGAGAGAATATTTCCAGCTTTTTGTGTTTGTAATATCCCCTGCATTATTCCCTGTGTTCATAAGAGCATTGTAAATCTCAGAATTTTTTTTTACAATCACACAACACGGATGACATGGCATTGGTGGAATTTATGGTTCATTGTTGCATTGTCTCAGAATACATCTAAAAAGAAAGAACTCAAAGAACTCACCGTCAGTAGGAGGGAAGAAAAACTCAAACTCAGTGAGATTGTGAGTAATTTCAAATATCTTGGGTTCATTTTTAGCCAAAATTTATCGAACATACATACTACATCGACAAGAAGGCGTTTCAGAGCTTGGTAAGATGATATCCTAAGGATGTCCTTCATCGTAGAAAGTGTTATTATAAAAATTAATTTGAGGCCAATAGTAAGATCAAGTTCACTAAGATCATTAATGTAATGATTAAGATCATTCTAGATCCCCAAAGGTAGTTTAGCATCAGGATGAAAGCTTCAAAGCAAAAGTGGGACCAAGTTACTACTTTACAAGTCAAAACTCGCTTAAATTTCAAGTCACTTTGAGTCATTTACAAAAAAAACTGCATAATTGCAATGCCAAAGTAAATGTATATTAAATCTTAAACACAGACATCTAAATGTTGATGCTGTTAAAATCTGGGTAACACTTTAGAAAACTCTTGTTAGGGGCAGTTCCCAAGGATTGTAAGGAGGGAGGGAAAGAACTCAAACTCAACACAATATGTAATCAACTCTTTTTTAATAATAATTTAGAAAACAAACACAAAAACCATGCAATTAAAGCTATATACGGGAACAAAAATAGAAGAAACATGAACTTAATACAGAAATAAGCTCAACCAGCAATGCTGGGAGACACAAAGCAAACAGCCGATCTTGAGGTTACAAATGGGCATAAGCTTACCACACCAGCTCAGGAATAATATCCTCAGCGAACTAGACCAACATAATGAACAATCACATACAAAGAACCCGCACGAGGAAAAGGAAGCAAAGGGCTTGAGAAGGGGGAACGAGTAACCAGACTAGAGGTGGAGCACATGAGGGCTAATTAACAATGACGCCGAAGGAAGACACAGGCAGGAGAAGTGGCCAGAATAAAAAGAACAACGGAAGGAAACCAAGACAGGGAATATACAGAAAGGTGCCAGAACATGAGGGACAGAAGAGAAAGTGACATTAGCGCCAAGTATGGAGTGAGCCATACAAGGATTTTGTGCTCTGCATTTAACCCATCTGCTCTGTGTGTGCTCTGGGAGCTGTGGGGATTTTGGTGACTTTCTCAAGGCCACCATAGTAATGGTTGTCACAGGAGGGAGAGAGTGTCAACACTCATCCGACTCCCAGTGGAACTAGGGATCGAACCGGCGACCTTTTAATCTCCAAGTCAATCACCTTTTCCACTAGGCTATGACTGCCAAGAAAGCTACAAAGCTACTCTGAGAAAAGACAAAATATAAGGAACAGAGAACAAGAAGAAGCACCTCACAACTCTTCCTTAGTCAATGCATAACTAAGAGGTCGTTATTACAGAACTTACCTGTTTTTTCTAAAATTCTGTGTTGTCTTTTTAGAATATTTTTCTAAATAAAGTTCTACGTAATTCCCTGATGACTAAGTGGTAGCTCTTTACTAGTTCCCTGATAACTATGTGGGGAGTATACAGTAACTATTTAGTTGTTCCCTGTGTTGTCACTTTAGAATTACTAAGATTATTGCTAAAAGAAAATGTTCAGTCATTGCACGTCACTCAAATGGAGTGACAGCGGGGACAGCCAATCACGTGCCAACAATACTGCCAGCAACCAATAGATGAACTTAGTTTTTTAGCTAATTGCACGTGGTCTCTCTCTCTCTCTGACACGTCTCTACGCGAACTGAGAAAACACACAGAGAAAAGTTTGAATGTGAATTCATTATTATTCAATTTCAAATATCAGGAGTGGCAGGGTGGTGCAGTGGGTAGCACTGTGGCCTTCCAGTTAGAAGGTTGTCGGTCCGGTTTATCTCACAATTCCAAAAACATGAGGTTAGGTTAATTAAAATGACCCTGCGATGGGGAATAAACAAGCGGGTCGGAAGATGAATGAATGAATGAATAATAAAATCAGTTTTGGTGACATTTGTATAATGATTTTTGGGTGAAAACCATCTGGGAACTCCACCTGTCACCTATCTATCCATTAAGCCAGGTTAATGTTTAAGCCAGCATTACCTGGTCTCCAGCTAACATTGTCTGAGCTTCACCCTCCTTCCTCCCCAGAACTCCTCACAGGAGGTATTACATGGATATGATCCATGCCTTGTACGGCAGGCCCTGGTGGTGAACTCGTGAAATATATTCAATGTTGATAAAGTCGAAGTTCAAGTGGAGTCTCAAGTCACCAAATAAAAGACTCGAGTCTAAATCAAGTCCACACCTCAGTACTAAACCATCAGACTTTAATTTACTAAATAAGTTTAAAATTTGTTGACTTAAAAAACAGAGGCAGTTTAATGTATTTATCTTTGGTTTTTTCGTGTTATTGATATATTTTAATAAGGGCTGTTTCTTATGTTTTCTATTTTCTGTTTCTTTTGTTTTTGTATGATTTCTGCTCTCGTGAGGCCAAAGATGATTTTCTATAAACTTTTTATTAAATTTCAATTGTCATTTCATTTAAACAAGTCAGGTGTGTAGCTTATGAAAAATTGTTTTGGGGAATAAGTTCCTGAATACTGATCATATTCCAATCCAAAGGAACGACTTCCTCAGAAAATACATTATACCCAGCTTTACATTTGGGAGTACAGCTAAAGATTAAGAAAGCTGTGCAATGTTGGTGCAAGGCTGACAGCTAGTGGATGAAAAGGACCCTTCTCCTGCTTCAGTCTGTGTTGTGTAAACCGTTCAGTGGATTCGCTGCCAATTCTCTGTCAGTTTAGATACAGAGCCATTTTTATTGATCGTCATTGTTCTCTGGGTTTGCTTCCGTGTTGAGGTGTACATTTAAAAAAAATCCCATTTCTGATCACATGGTTTCCCAGAGATGCTGTTTAAGCACTGGAATATACTTTCACTTTATGTTTGTTTATATCAGACAAAATAACACAGAGAGAAAAAGAATAAAAATAAAGATATACAACCATTTTACAAATGTATGCAAATATATTTCAGTAAATCCTTTATATTTATTTAACAGAAGACTCAGATAATCCACCACATTCTGTAGGGTTTCAGGACATTTCCCCTAAGTAAAATGTTGCTAGTTTAATGCTTTAATTTGAGCAGTGATTCAAAATCAGAGCGTTATCAGTCAAATTTTAATGAGCTATGTTGCAAACATGGCATCAGAAATGTGCCCAGGCTGGTTTATCTGCTTCAGAAAAAGGGGAAAAGAAACATTTCTCATATATGAGCTTACCTTACAAGCATTTCTGAAGCAGAAGGCACAAAACTCAATGTCAGTGTCAGTATTAGATGGAGATGAAGAATGCTGTGGTGGGGATTCTGCCTGTCTAACCAAGTTTAAATTCACATTGTTTCCTGCTCTGCTTTGGCGCACCCCTTCACCGTTTAACAGTCCTTCATTGAGGGTTTTTAGACCTCAGTGTGTTTGTTGAGAAACTTGGAATATTCACGAGATAAATGGATTGATATGTATCTTGTAGAACTGCTGTGTATATCAACCAATAATTTAATTCAAATGTAAACATTTAAAAAGAAAACTTTCTTTGCTAATAGTACTTTTTTAAAGTAATATTTGCATTTTTAAATTAGGTTTATTACTTTCAACAAATAAAGGGAGCTACAAATGCTTTTAAAGTTTTCTTATTTTAGCTTCTAACAAAATAATTCCTATAGTACAAAACTTGTGATTATAGTGCTTTCTTGCTAAATGGAGCAAACACTCAATCCTCCATAATCTCTTGAAAAAGAGACCTTCGGACCTACCGTATTTTTCGCCGTATAAGAAGCACCGGCATGTAAGACTTTTAAATGAGGAAGATCTAGAATAAAAATATTCTGAACCAAATACTGTAGTAAAATATTTTATATTAACTGTGTAAAAGTTAACATCATTTTAAGAACAATTATATGGCAAACATGTAACATAAACAGTCAGTAAAGTCAGTAAACAGTAAAAGTAACAAAAAAAGGCTGTAATGTTTTTATTCGAACCCCAATAATTCCTCTTCGTCACTGCTATCAGAAATGAGGAAGGACAGATCCACGCAGTCATTGTCCTCACTTTCTTCCTCACTGGTGTCAAATAAGATGTTGTCTTCTGTTCCATCCAAGGCATTACTAATGCCACACTTCTTGAATGATTTTATAACAATGTCCTCCTTCACGGAGTCCTACGAGCTATGGTAGGATCGACGAGCAGAGATGGGCGATGACGCCAGCGCGCACCGCCGGGTGTACAAATATGGCCGCGGCTTCGGCCTAGCTCCGGAGCCGTCGGCCATCTCTGCTCGTCGATCCTACCATACCGCGTAGGATCTCTTATGCCTCTCTTATGGCCATGACCGCCCTCCACGGCGCTCTGCATTCGCCGTATAAGATGCACCAACTTTTCCCCCTCAGTTTTGTTTACGATGGCTAAAGGGGAGGTGTCCTATCATCATGTGAAGGAGGTAAGTTAGAGATTTTCCGAAGGTAGATTTCTACCAGAACAAGGCTGCATTCTGAAAACCTGCCTGGGAGAAATTTACCTGGCAACAGTTCTGAGGATTTTTGCTATTGGCTCCTTGCTGTTTCCTGGGCTGAGCTTTGCTTACGTCTACAGCGCATTTAGCTGCAGCTTTACTTCTTTAACTTCTCTTGCTTTCAGAGAAGACAGTTGAAGGATTTTTCATTCTATTCACACTTTTGTAGAATTTGGTGACAATGAGAGGACTTGTCTGTTTTGCTCTGCTTTCTCTTGTGTACATGACTGTACAGGGGAAACAATGTAAGTATAAAACAGATTGTTTTGTGAGTTCTGTGTTGTGTTTTTGTCCTCCATTGTTAATTATCTTAGATATGAGGAAGCGTCTTATAAATGTCTGTGGCAATCCTTTGAATATACATGTTTTTACTCTTAGTTTCTTGTGTTTGCTTGTTTTGTTTTCAACAAATAGAATATAAAAAGTACTTTTTTGAAAGCTTTGTTAATTTTTTGCATGGTCATTTAGGCTGTCCACGTTAAAGGCCTGATAACTGTTTCCAAGTACTTTTAGAGGCGGATATTTTACAGTTTGAGTTTTAGAATGATCTTTACGTCTCCAAACTTTAGTATTATACTTCCTTTCAGCTTCTCCGAAAACCCAGGTGTACAGCCATTACCCTGGAGAGTATGGGAAAGAAAACACACTCATCTGTCATGTGAGTGGCTTCCATCCTCCCGACATCTCCATTGACCTGCTGAAGAACGGTGAGGTTATTCCTCATACGAAACAGAGTGACCTGGCTTTCGAGAAGGGATGGCAGTTCAACCTGACCAAGAGCGTCACCTTCACACCAGAGAAGGGAGACAAATACCTCTGCAGGGTTCGACACATGAGCGAAACCAAGCAGTTCAGCTGGGGTGAGATAATTTTCACATAATATTTCATGATTTTCGGGTTACATTTGTGTTGAACATCTCACGTCTTTCTGTAGAGCCCAACATGTAAGACCAACACGGTCAGAGGCCGATAATCGAGGGTACGTGTTTCTGTTTATAATCAGTTTAAATAATAAAAACTAGTAAATACACTATAAAATTGTCTAAAAGCTATTTTCTTTCTTTCCCTTAGGATACAGGGTCTTTAGCCTTCGGATGAGCTTTTCTCCTCTACATTCATACGCCAAGGATTATAACTGTAATATTTTTTTTCCAAAACATTATTACTAATGATTATCACCGGAATTATTTCTGATTTGTTATTTTTTACTTGATCACAATTGAAAACGATCAAATATATTGATACCAAAAGATCTGCTGTTATCGCTCTTGGTGAGAAAAGACTACTGCTTGTATTTCATGAACCTGATGTTGCTTTGGTACATAATTTACTAGTAATCGTTTTTTCCGACAGTTGACCTTTTTTATTTACAAAAACAATTGTAACACTAGGAGAAAGTTGCAAGGGTTTGGGGTAATTACTCTCTGGTCTCTCGTATTAGCTGTAAACTCGGTCTTTCTTGAAATAATTGAATCTTTGTGAATGTTTTTGATTTACTGTGTAGTGAAATGGGCTTTCTTTTACATTTTGAGATTTTCACCAGTGGAGCTTTGAATGCGGGATAATTTTGGTCTGGGCTGTCATGGATGTAAGTTACAAATAAAAGTGTGAAAATTTATTTGGAAACATTTGTTTATTTGAGGCAAACTATTTGAGGAGAACACTAATAGTCTGCAATTCCCTTTCAGTCGGTCCCGGAGACGTTCATTGGGATAAGACAGACTGA